ATGCTTTATTTACCAAGAGTTTTGTTTTGTTTTGCCTTCCTTGTGAATCTATGACATTCTCATTATTATTCATTTGCATATATTGAAGCTTATTTCATATATATTAATATTTTAAAAGTAAGCATGATTACAGCTACCATGCATCTATGCCCTGGAGAATTCTATTGAGGCACAGTCATAACTGGTATTAAACCTAGAGAGAATTATGCATGTCCATAGAGAGAATGTTATTCACTCAGAGCATGGCCACATGGTGACTTCAATCAGGTTTACTTTTCAAGTGTTAAATGGACTGAGTGACTCTAAAGGTTTTTGGATCCTGTCCAAAACTGGAGTTGTGTAGTTTCTGTTGTAAGTTCAGTTTCTGTGGTTAAATTGGAAGAATCTTTAATATGAAGAAAATAAGTCCAATTCCTAAAAGAAAATGTATTACACAAAATAAGATTATAGTTTATTTATATGCTAATTAGTAAAGTATGTTGCAAATCCAAAGGCGGCCATGGAGTTTTTTTTCTTCTCAGCGTAAAGAATACAACCAATGCTACTTATGCACTAATAAGGTTTATTTTTTTTAATAGTAATGATCCTTTTTCTTTCATTCCTTGCTCATCTACTGAAAAGCATCTCAAATAGTGCATTTTCTTATCAAATGTATAATTTCTAAAACTTACGTGCCACATTCATTCTTATTAAAAAAACAAATAGCAAGAATGTTTAAAACTATAATTGCTATAAATCTAAATAGAGCTTAAAACAGTGAACTGAAATGTTCCCCTGCAGATTTAACTGTTATTCTCCTCACTGTCCAATTACATAGTGAGTAGCAATTACAACTGACCATTTATCCCAGCTACTATATATATTAAAATTCCACATATATTTCATAATCTGTTTTCTATATGTCATTCGGGTATGTAACTTTTGCCACGTATTCTAAAAGTAAGGCAAAGTTAATGTTTAATGTTTTTTTGTTTTGCTTTAACCCAGGGGGAAAAAAGGTTTATTTTTAAAGACTACTTCTGAGTTCATATAATTTAAGGTATACAAAGAAAAGGGTTAATCAGATATTTGCAATAATGAGTTAATGTAGATAAATAATAAAGAGAATTCAAGTTTGAATCCTGACATTATCTAGTTATAAGGAGAATTGTTTACTTTTTTTTCTATCAATATTTATAGAAAAGATAGCAGTATTACAATGGGCTACCAGCTCAGAATCAGACTGCCTGCATTTTCTTCTCTCTTCTATTTCCTTGCCTTAAATCATGGGGATTTAATTAAACACTCTGTCCCTCAGTCTCTCTAGCTTCTTTATTCTTATTTTTGTCTAACATGTATGTGTGTCATTTAAATTAAATCACACAGTACATGTATGTTATTTTGAACAGATAAGCATAGTAAGCACTCAATAAGCATTAGCCCTATTAATATGTAATTCCCACTTTTGCTGAAAATTATGAAAATATCAATTCATCTTCAAACACCAAAATCTCATCTTAAATTAACACGTGTTGTGGGAGGCACCTGGTGGGAGGTAATTGAATCACGGGGGCAGGTCTTTCCTGTGCTGTTCTTGTGATAGTGAATAAGTCTTACAAGATCTGATGGATTTAAAAAGGCGAGTTTATGTCTCAAGCTCTCTTCTCTTGCCTGCCGCCATGTGAGAGGTGCCTTTCCCCTTCTGCCGTGCTTGTGAGGCCTCCCCGACCACGTGGAACTGTGAGTCCATTAAACCTCTACTTTTGTAGATTGCCTGTTGTTGGGAATGTCTTTCTTTATGAGCAGCATGAAAACGGACTAACACAGACAACAAAGTATATTATGTAAGGCCAATCATGCAAATTATTGTGCATTTTGTCACAAAATATATATTTATTTGTATATTTCAACACAACTTTAATATTTAATGAATACTTTTCCTCTACAAAGAGTAATAGATTCTCAAAATGAAAATCAATTATTGTAACTTAGTTTTTATTTCTAGTTGTTTATAAATCATGAAAATAAATGTTTATCTTAAAGCCAGTTCTGAATAAAGAATAGCAGAATATGCTAACCAAAGTATATCATTTGGCATAAGGATTACTTTGAGCTGAAGACAATTGAAAAGAAGCTGATACAAAAAATTCTTTCCCTCCAACCCTGTTTGCAAGGCATAAATTTATAAAGGTGTCCCTTATCCCCTTTATACTGGGAAGGACAAATGTTGGTCAGAAAAGACAACCTTAGACTCTTATTATCCTGAAGACTTATTTGTCCAGAGGAATCTATGTAACAAACTTTATTATCCTTTGTCTACCATTAGTTCCCCTTATATTTGCCTTGCCGCAATTTGTTGCCCCTAAAGACTTAAGGTCCTTTGCCTTTGTCTTGTCACATCTCTAAAATTGAATTGTCTTTTGTTGAAGATGATATATAAGCTGATGTTCTAAGTCTTTGAGAATTGCTTATTGCCTGGGTATCTCCTATATATATAAGAAATTAATGTCAATAAAACTCTTGTTTTTTTTTTCTTGTTAATCTGTCCTTTGTTATAGGGGTCCCAGATAAAAATTCAGAACAGTAGAGGACAGTTTATTTTTTTCCCCAACATATACATAGGTATAATCTCTTTACCTTACTTTCAACTATAATATACACTAAAAATTGTTGGCATCTTTTGCATTGTTTCTGCTTGTCTGGAAACGTTTATGTATTTTGTAATTTAATCTTCACGATGACCTCATAATTTAGATATTACTATCCTAATTTATGGTATAAAAAAACAGAACCCACAAGTTCTAGGAGGAAAACTATGATTCAAAATCAAATCCATGTGATTCTTACCATATTATGGCTTGAGTGAAATGACAGCCTTAAGTTTCAAGGAGCCCTCTTACTTGAATGCATGTATTTGCTTGAAGACTTGATCCAGGGAAAAAAGATAGAGAAAGATAAATACAACTTAAAACAAAAAAAAGATAAGTATCCCCAATTTTCATGGCACATAGAAGCAAAGTAAAATTAGCCTGGGGTGGCTTTCTGACTTTTTTCACCTATTTTTAACTCACCACTCCAATTTATCAGTCTCTAAAATATTCCTGTCTGAAATAAAGATGTGGGGGGAATGAAATCTTTGAAAGTAGCTGAGACATGTGCCAGGGGCTGTGCTAGGAATGATATCATTAACTACATGTTATAAAAAGAAAACCTTGGGGGAGATAGGGAGACTGAGGCTTACAGAGATGAGGAAATTTAACCAAAGGCTTGGCAAGTTGGGTTGACATTTGAAAGTGATTCTAACACTAAAACCCAAACTTTGGAAGTGGAAATTTGTTCTTTTCAGTAAACTAATTTAAGGATTTTCTGGCCCTGTGCACGTAGATCCCTATTTTAAAACAAAAATGGTCAATAAAAATAATTGTATTTATTCTCTGTAACTCTCAGTCACATCCCTTCATTAACCAGCAGTGGAATTAGATACATTGATTTCTGAGTTAAACTCTGATATCCTGAATGAAAATTAATATGTAATAAATATTTTTACACTATTTGAACCGTAAATTTATGCTATTTAATTCAACTTCAAAATACTAATACATAGGAGTATTAAATACAATTTGCCATGATGGTTTACAATTTCTAATGCAAAAAAGAAAATTATGAATCATTGCTTTGCTTAGTGCAGTCCTTCAAAAATATCAAAGATATTTCAAAAGATGAAGTGTTACTTTTTTAAAAGATAAGCTAAAATATTATCAATGAAACAAATTCACAGTAAGAACAGCTTACAGTGGGAGGCTGAGGATTAAAATTTCTCTCATTATAAAGGATTCTCAGTAGGAAGCTGGGTTATTTCTGAGCTTAGTACAATACAGATGAAGCCTGACATGAACCTATAAGCAGTAGCAAAAATGACATTGGATAAGGTTTAACTTTGCAGTAATTTGCAACTACCAGATCAATATTTCAAGGAAGACATTGAATTCTACTTAACCTACTTCTGGTTTCTGAAAAATATCTAAATATGTAAGAGTTTAAAAACACAGAATACTATTGTCCCCACTGTCGGTATCTTCCAAATAATTGCTTTATATTATAGTCATGTATTGTAATGACTGTAATATTCTTTTTCTTAATTGAAGTTGGTTCTCTGTTGTATTTGTGGCTCATCTCTTCAGTAGGTGTCAAAAAAAAAAAAAATCCAAGAAAGCAGTCATAGATTTATAGTCTACACCATGTGATTAGCACACACTTGCCGAATAAATGAATGAATGCATGAACCGGTCCTAGATTGTTAAGACAATGTTTTGAAATGGAGATGTTATTTTCAAGGTGAAATTTGAACTACAAATCTGTGAATAATTTGATTCGATCACTTAAATATTTATTTCTGTAACATTAATCTTACCTGTTTCCCCAAAGTAGGAGAAGTAATAATTAAGTTAGAACTAATAAGCCAGAAACGCCTCCTGCAGGCTCACAGGAAAAGCAGTAATCTTTCTTTGTATTTTGTTGCTCCTATCTTGCTTGCAACGTAAAATGGCCTAGCACCTGCTCAGACTTGAGAGAGAGTTCATTAATATTTAATTTAGACGACTACAAAGGGGAAAACATTATTCTTATGCAAAATTATCTTTTTCTCCAAAACGATTTCCTTGTTTTACAAAAATGCCACAAAAATTCCACACAGATTTTATTTTATCTAGCACCAATAAGACATATATTTTTTTAAAAACAAGTTTTATGTACTTTTTCAGCTTTGTTTTCAGCTTTGTTCAGATGTGATTGACAAAAAAATAATAATAATTATTATTTAAGGTGTACAATACAGTATTTTGATATAAGTATATCTTGTATAATGATTCCCAAAATCAAAGTAATTAACGTCTACCTCACTTGACATAGATAGATTTTTGCTGGGGTCGGGGGGAGTTTTTTTTTTGTTTTTTGTTTTTTCTTATTTTTTGGCTGAGAACACTTAATATCTATCTACTCCTTTAATACATTTTAAATATATAAAACATACAGGATGCTTCATGAATTCACATGTCGTTTTTGCAAAAGGGCCATACTAATCTTTGTATCATTCCAATTTTAACATATATACAGCTGAAGTGAGCAATAGTCCTCTTTTTTTGTGAGAGGAAATCCTCCTTCTTTAGAAAATCTACCTTTTTTGTAATATTGAGATTTCAATAATATTGACTGAAACTTATTGCCTATGAAAATCTTTTAAACGGAATCTTAGAATTGATGAGATATAAACTTGGTGAGGCCATCATCTCTATGAAACACTATAATAAATATTAAAATTATAAGAGACATTCGATGAAAAGAAGAGCCTAGTAGCAGCAATAAAGATGACATCATAGACAAACAGATCCACAGCAAAGCTGTCAACAGCAATAATGGGAGCCAGAAGACAGTGGAGTGATTTCTTCATAATGACAGAAAACACAGCTATCAACCTAGTTTCACTGGCACAACAAAACTATCTACTAATACTGAAAGTAAAATAATGATAGTTTGCAATGAACTAGGCTTGATTTTACACTAATACTTCTTACCCAAAGAAATTTCTAAATTATATATTTCAGGGAGAAAAAAAATCCCGAATGCTCTGTGTTGCAAGAAGTAACAGTGAAAAAAAAATTGTATAGTAAAGATGTGAAAATACAGGAGTTTGAGGTGAACATGAAAATGCCATCTACAAATCTAGAGACCAGAGCAGATTCTTCCCCAGCAGCCCTTAGAAGGAAACAGCTTGCTGACACCTGGTTTCAGACTTCTAAGTTCTGATTGTGAGATAAGAGATTTATGTTGCTTAAGCCATGAAGAAAGAAAAAAAGGTATGAAAATCAAAATAAGTCATTTTATACAATGATAACATAAAAATAATGTAAAATATGTTTGGCTAAAAAGAAGGAACAAAAATCGTGAAATCTAGTCTGTTTGTGAAACAGACTAGGGTTGATCTGGTTGAAAAGGTTCTAAGGTCTTTTAATCATTCATATGGTGATTGAGGTCAATATTAAAGAGTGAATTGAAAATAAGAGCCGGAACTCAAAACTTTCATAGTTTACAAAGTAAAAATCAATGAAAAATAGTGGAGAAGAAGAACCATTGCAGTTGATATATAAAAGGAAAGAAAGGAGGAAATCAGATCATAAAAAGGTAGGAAAAGTATAAAACCCTAAATAAAATAGAGGTACGTCAAAATGTATCAAGCATCAAAAGGACTATACTTGTCAATTAAACAAAACATAGACTGTGGAAAATCAAACATTTCACAATGTGCTATTTACGAGCAGTATACAGAAAACATAAAGACCATAAAAAAGTTTAAATGCAGATAGAACAAGAAACCCAAGTGGATATATTAATATCAGAAAAGAAGACTTTAGGACAAATACATATAAAGGAAGGTGAGGTGCGAGTCACTACATAACGATAAATGTTCAATTAAATGGAACCCTATGGCAGTTCTATATTTGTTTACAGCTATTAAAATAGCAGTGTTAGGAGAGGTAAAGTCAGGTGTTCTAAAATTTAAATAGTAATGTCTAAGTAGTTTATTTTCCTCTTATTTATCCAAAGTAGAACAGCAAACTCTCTAATGCTGGTGAGAGAATTTTGCGCCTCAATTCCTCAGGGATTAGATTTCTTCTACATCATTTGTTGGTCACACTTAGGTGTAGTTTTCATCATCATGGTCCAAGAAGGTAGAATTTCGTGTCCTATGCTGTAAACTAGAAGGGACAATAACGAAGACAAAAGATCTCTGTCAAGTATCTTTCCACAACTTTGAAAAGATGCCATATTACACTGCTTAGATTCCATTAGCCATATCTTAGTGATAACATCATGTATAGGTGCAAAGGAGGCTGGCAATGGTCTTCTGTGCAGCTCCTATAATATTGAAGTAGAGACAGGCTGGGTGGCAGGGAGGACAGCTAGCAGCCTCTGCTTCAATAATCTCAAAACATAGAAATCAAAATTGATAGAACTGCAAGGAAAAACTGAAAACCACTACCATAGTGAAAGATTTCAACTTTCCTCTCTCAAACACTGAGAAGTTAAAACCACAAAAATATTGGTATGTATATAATTATATATACACAGTATTATACTGCATACTATATATACAGTATTATATATATAAAATTATCTAGCATGGTGGTTATATATATTTGTATATAATAATTATCATGCTAGATTAAAAGATATATATAATCTATACATGTAGTACTCTGAAACTATTGAAAAATGTGTTTCCTCAAGAATAAAGTACACTCACAAAGTTGGTCAAATACTAGGTTATGAATGAGATAGATATTAACAAAATTTCAAAAAGTCTGTGTCAATTAGATCATGAATAAAATTTAAATGAATTATATAGTAATTACATTTATTAATAATGTAAATGCATATGCTTAGAAATTGTCTTCTAAATATTAATATTTAATAGATCAAAAAGTCTATAGAAATTTTTAAATAAGTATATATGTATAAATGCATATACTTAGAAATTGTGTCTTCTAAATATTAATATTTAATAGATCAAAAATAAATAGAAATTTTTAAATAAGTATATGTGTGTGTGCGTATTTCAGGCCTTGATAAACAAAGTGAAAACAGTTCTTCTGCTATTAAAAAAAGTTGAAATTCTTAGAAATTCAATGACATCACAATTAAAAATAAATGAAGCTCAAATATTCCTGAAAAAATAATTGACTGAATCAGTTTTTTTAAATATTCCAAAAAGTGAATCCTTGGACCAAAATGTTTTCTGAATAAATTATAACCTTAAAAAGAGATCATTTAAGTCGTACCTAAATTTTACTAAAGAATTAAAATGAAGGAATATGATGCAAGTCATTATGTGAAGTTGGTGTAACCTTGTTATCAACACCAGAAAAGGATATAATGAGAAAGGTAAGCTAAAGATCAATTCTCCTTCTAAATATAGATGCAGAAATTCAAAACAAAATTTTAGTTCACTGAATCCAGCAGCGCATGAAAATGTACTACATCATGTCTACGCTTGGTTTATTACAGAATTGCAAGGGTGCTTTCTAACTAAATTTTTTTTTTAAAAAGTAAGTACATTATCATATTAAGAGGCCAAAGGAATAATTAATTTAATAAATGCAGGTTTATTTAGTTCTTAATTCAATTTTTAAAAATAGAGACAGGGCCTCACTCTGCCACCCAGGCTGGAGTGCAGTGGCACTATTATTGCCACTGCGTAGCTCACTGCAGCCTCCAAACACTGGTCTCAAGTGACCCTCCTGCCCCAGTCTCCCAAATAACTAGGATTACAGGAATCCACCACTGTGCCTGAGTTAATTTTTGAAATTATTTGTAGACATATCCAATACAGTAAGACATGAGAAATAAAAAAAATTTATACAGATTAAAATAAAAGAAATAAAATCACCACTATGCAGGAATTATATGGTTGCAAACAAAATCTAAAATAATATTCATTAAAATTATTGGCATAAAAACAGATATTAAGAAAGCTGCTGAATGTAATATTAATGTAAAAATATTAATTGTACTTCAGGAGAGCTAAAATAATACTTGGAAAATGTCTTCTAAAGAAAAATATTGGACATCATTCACCGTGGTAGTTACAATATGTCACCTCTGGATAACCTAATGATAGTAATATATGATTGCAAAAAATTAAAATTGATTGTAAGACATTTAAGAAGACACAAATAAAAATATATAGTGTTTGTGGATTGAAAGGGTCTATGCAGTCATGTCTCTCCAAATTTACTATAGATTCAATTAAATTACTCAAACATTTTCAGCAGATGTTTGTAAAACTTTTTGGAATTGCAAGCCTCAGGATTAGCCAAGAGACTCGTGAGGAAGAGAAGCAATTTTAAAGGATCTTCTTTAATCAATTATCAAGATGTTTTAAAAGACTAAATTATTTAAATTAATATTGTGTTAGATTAGGAATAGACAAAACAGCTCCAAAATAAATCCATAACTCCCTGAATTAAAGGTCATTTAACATATTATAGAAGAATCACTGCAGTCATTAATAAATGGTGAAAAAGAGAGACTGTTTAATTAGTGACCCTGAGACAACTGATTAGGCATTAAAAAGAAAAAAGAAAAAGAAAAAAAAAAAGAAAATAAAATTGGGTCCCTAACTCACAAGTTCCACAGCAATCTACTTCAAATAATAACAATAATAATAAAACCTTTAAAAGATGAGATAAAATAATTTCTTATTGGTTTTGGGGTAGAAATAATATCTCACAACAATAAGTATTTACTAATTGAACCATATTAAAATTTAAACATATGTTCACCAAAAATCTCTTTAAAGTGTGAAAAAGGAAAACATAAATTTGGAAAAGATATTTGCAGCACATATAAGGTATTATTAAGGTATTATTATTATCCAGTATATTTTTCAATTTACAAAACATTGTGTTTTATAGAATGTCTCTAAACAAGAACCAAACAAGAAAACCAAATGAATAAATGCTGACACTGCATTACTAATTAGGTATATGCAAAGCAAGAGTATAATGAAGAGTTTATACTCATGAGACTGCCAATACATAACAATTCCACACATGATGGAAATAGAAAACTATGTACACTGCTAGTGGGATAAATTGACATGATTACATAAGAAACAAATGTCATTATTTTGTGAAGTCATACATGTAAATTCTTAAGCTAGCAAATGCACTTATGGGATTAGACAAATCGATGCAAATGTGCACTAGAGAACATGTACCAGAATATTTACAGCAGCATCACTGGTATTGGCAAAAAATTGGAAACAGCCCCAAAGTATTAGAAAACATAAATAAATATAACGCATTGTAAGATACCGGCATTAAATAAAAAAAGTCATAGCAATAACATGGATGAATGGATAAACTTAAGAATATTGAATAATTAAATATAAAATAAAAGCATCAAAACTACATAAAGTATGAAAACACTCTTAAAAGCTCAAAAGAAGTAAAATTAATAATACATTGTATAAGAATGCATACATATAGTAATTACATGCTTAAAGCATACAAATAAAATTCTGAATTTAAGAAACTTCAGATTAGTTTCAACTACAATGAGAGAC